TCTTCGAGCTTCTGTGTATATTTATCCAACGTTTGTTGTGGTGCCTCCTTCTGGGAATCAGAAGATGACCCCAGACTGCTCTGACTCATTGTTATTCTTCTTTGTCTAGCCAGATCCAAAAGCTGCTCGATGTTATATTTTTGTGTCTGTTAGAATTTGCCTTTGTATCTTGAAAAGGTTTCGCATTGAATCTCTTCTTGGGAGACAATCCTTCTACTTGTTCTCAATACTCTTTGTGACATCAATTTGTGTGATGTCACAAAATGATGTCACAACCTCAGCAGAACAACTAGAAAACTGCTGAAGTTTGAATTAAAACAAACTTTATGGCTGAATGCTAGTCTATGGGCCAGAGGGCAAAATTTGACATTTTTGTCCATTTCAGGGTGGCAAAGTCTATCGATATTTTTTGAAAAGATACATATATCTAGTTAATATTTTGGTATGATAGCCCTTCCAAAATGGTAGCTGAGTCATAGTTATCAGCTCATGAAGTAATAACCCCTTTGGAAAAATTCTGTTTCTTGAGACTGGTGTATGTCTGGTTTAGGCTCATGGTATGGGCATTTGTCAAAGGTCTATAATATGGTGTGTGGTATCTTCTTAAAGGGGACACTCTTGGCTTTCATTTAAACCAGGTTTTGAGTCTCTCTGACCAACACAGAGGTCACTAGAGCTCGTTAAACCAAAAATAATACACATTTTCCACACCTTTTGACCAAACTAGATGCATTTCTTTTATCCCAGTGGTATCCAGGGACATCAGGGACACATCTGTACTTAGCTTCACCCATCTTCTCATTAAATCTGACTCCAGCTTTTCAACTGAAGTTAAAAAAAAAAAAAAAAAACTTAAAATGGTTTAACTTTATTTATTTTGGAGCATCATAGTTAGGTGGGGTGATAACAAATACAAATGCAACACTTTCCTGAACTTTGCAAGGTTTGTGAAATTTGTGTATTCTTATACTTCAACTGTTGCATCTATCTTAAGGAAAGCTAATAAAATGTAGAAACAGTAAGTACTGGATTTGTTAGGACAGGTTTATAGGAACTGTTTGATGTAGAAAAATCAGGCATATTTAAAATAAAATTCCTCATTTACATTTATCGTTTACTCTATAGCGCCCTCCAGAGGCCTTTTTTCACCTCCTTCACCATCCTGGTCTAAGGTAATGCTCAGGTTCTCGACTGTTCATATTTGCAGGTTTATCTCATGATCCCTTGGTGACTTGTACCCAATTACAATGAGCATGAGCTAGCATTAGCATTGCAGCACGGTTCTGAAGCTAATAGCTACTACAGAATGTTCGAAAAGTAGCAATAATGACTTCTGTTTCCATGGTTGTGGGATTTCATGATCCACTTATTTTCATGCATGAGGGAAACCAAAAATTTTTGATGGTTTTCAACTAGTGTCGCTTTGGACATTGCTTGGGTCCTTGGGTAAAAACATAGTCAAGAGTCGGTTCTGAAGGGTGTTAAAATCATAAGTGCTCTGCTTCAAACATATTTATATAATCTAAAATATCCCATTGTGTTTCATTA